ATATTCAGAATTAGAAAATAAATACAAACAATTACAGTTTGAAATTCCTCACTCAATTTTGCCTTGCAATTTATATCTGAACAAGTTAAATGCTAAATATAGTTAACTATGTGAACACTGTGGCAATGCTGACACTATCAGACATTATATGTTGTTTTTTTGCTCTCATTTAGCCATTCTGGCTTTCCTATTTTAAATGGGCTAAAGCAAATATTCAAGATAAGGTATATCCAAATTACAGAGATGTTGTATTATATGGGTTGAATGGAGACTCTGAAGACTGTAAATTATTTAATTATGTATTGATGTTTGCTAAATTTATAGTGTATCGCTACAAAGTCACTGGAAGTGATTGTAATTTTTAAACTTGTAGATCTAAAAGTACATTATAAAATACTGAAACATACTGGAAAAAATGTAAAATCTCTATGTGCATAGTTTTTAACACTTATGACAACTGTATTATTAATTATGACCTATCATTTTTAACCCGAAAACCCTGGTATGTCCATCCACGTGACACTGTACAGGGAATGTAAAATCATGAAATTTTATTGCTAACAAATGATGCTTTAAAGAAAACAAAAACAAACAAACCGTGTCTGTGGTGTTGGTTAGTTCTCTCGTTAAATGTCTACTGAGCTGGAAATGTGACGCTGCGGTCTGCCAACTCCATATATCGTAATTCTCTGAATCATGTCTGGTGTTGTTGATGTTCCAGGCCTTCCAACACTGGGGTCGTTTTCAAAGCCTTAAACTCCACCGTCCGCATCCTTCCACGGTGTTTTTCGTATATCTTTATGGATGGCCTTTTTTTCTGAATGTACTGGATCATTGTATGTTCCTCAGTTTTTCAGCATTACCCAAAGGTCTCTGTCCCAGCTTGTCACAGTCAAACAATTTGCCCCGTTGACACAACGTTTGTGGGTATACCACTGTGACGTCTTGACCGAAACAAAAGGTTCCATTGTTATCAATCAACCCACGTGACCCGAATAGTCTATGGCGACAAAACGCTTGAGACGGGAGGATGCACCCCCGCATTTAGACTTGTAACATCATTCCCGTGGTATTTTAGGTGAACAATTTACTTGTCTTTCAATGTGTTTATGACAGGTGCTCCTGGTAGGACAGAATAGCTCACCTGTTCGCAAACACCTGCCTACATCATTATTTAAAAGTGATTCATAAACACATGATTATGGCGTTGTCGGAATGGCAGAATCGACCGTTTTGTCAGGGAGTTCTAATGACAATAGAAATTGTTTCTGTTGCCTTTATTTTGCATACGTCCTTCATGCATACGTTCCATTTTAAAACTATTACACAGAGACAAGAAAGTCATGCATACGTCATGATAGACAAATGGTAACGGCAGCACTTGCTGTATAATACAACACTTAGAGTGGTTATTCACTAAGAAAGATGGCGGTGGGGTAGCTTAGTGGTTCAAACGTTCGCTCGTCACGCCAGAGTCCCGGGTTCGATTCCCAACAAAGTTACAACGCATGAAGCCAATTTCTGGTGTCCCAGTGATATTGCTGGAATATTGCTAAAAGCGGCGTAAACGCTCAACTACAATTGCACAGTTTTTGGAGTACCATGCTTTTCCCGAATACAACTACTTCTGTGTTTTCCAAAAGTCACTTTTATCGGCGTTTTTCGTTAGTATCAGGTTGAGTTTGTAATTCTATTACGATGACAACAGGTATGCCGATGTTGGAACTAATTCAGAATGAAAACGAAGCATCGCTTTGTTGGACAAATTCTGTCTGTAGGTTTTTTAATAAAAGAATAAGAACAGAAATACGTCGAGTTGTGATTCCAACTCAGCTTCTAATCAGTCCAGCAAGCAGCCGTATCCTGTACACGGGATACTGTCGGAATGCCAGACTGACCAACCCTAGAGATGTAAACATAGATATAATGGACAACGGTGGACAGAAGAAGAAACAATGACGTTGCCCTGGACATGGAACCTACGGATGTGATTACAAAAACTAGCGTTCATTTCCTTAATGATATAATACACTACACTGTTAAGAAATATGTACTTTGGGAGCAATAAGAGTTAATACGTTCAAAACAGAGTGCAATTAAGCTGCTCTGTGCCAAGACCGTCAGATTCAAGAGTGACACACAACTCCTGGCAGGCACGTTTCACGATCGCATGTATCACATGTAGACGCGAGCTAAACTGACACTTAGCAATAGAAATGAATATTGTTTTGACAGTTGTTTGTTCATTGTATTTTCTTGAGAACAATGGTAATTTGGCACTCTTGTAACACTGTTTGTTTGGTGAAGTGGACCTTATTTCAAGCTGGATTTTGATAGCATCACTAGAGTACTCATAAATACTTACAATCGTCTCTTCTGTCAGTTTGCTAACCAGTTCCTGCTTGTTTCAAAAAGACAGGGATATATCTATGATAGAAGACGAAAAAGGTTTCCTTTGCATGACCTGTGTGGGTGACCCTATTTTGTGGTGGGTTGACCAGAGAGATTGTGAGTGTGTGTCATGTATTCCTTTGGATGTAGGATGTTGGGTGACCAGAGCGATCGTGAGTGTGTGTCATGTATTCCTTTTGGAGGAAGTATGTAGGGGTGACCAGAGAGATTGTGAGTGTGTGTCATGTATTCCTTTTGGAGGTAGGATGTTGGGGTGACCAGAGAGATCGTGAGTGTGTGTCATGTATTCCTTTTGGAGGTAGGATGTTGGGTGACCAGAGAGATTGTGAGTGTGTGTCATGTATTCCTTTTGGAGGTAGGATGTTGGGGTGACCATAGAGATCCAGAGTTTGTGTCATGTATTCCTTTTGGAGGTAGGATGTTGGGGTGACCATAGAGATCGTGAGTGTGTGTCATGTATTCCTTTTGGAGGTAGGATGTTGGGTGACCAGCGAGATCGTGAGTGTGTGTCATGTATTCCTTTTGGAGGTAGGATGTTGGGTGACCAGAGAGATCGTGAGTGTGTGTCATGTATTCCTTTTGGAGGTAGGATGTTGGGGTGACCAGAGAGATCCAGAGTGTGTGTCATGTATTCCTTTTGGAGGGAGGATGTTGGGGTGACCAGAGAGATCGTGAGTGTGTGTCATGTATTCCTTTTGGAGGTGTAGACCAGAGCGATGTGAGTGGTGTGACCAGAGATGATCGTCAGAGTGTGTGTCATGTATTCCTTTTGGAGGTAGGATGTTGGGTGACCAGTAGGATGAGATCGTGAGTGTGTGTCTTGTATTCCTTTTGGAGGTAGGATGTTGGGTGACCAGAGAGATCGTGAGTGTGTGTCATGTATTCCTTTTGGAGGTAGGATGTTGGGTGACCAGAGATCGTGAGTGTGTGTCATGTATTCCTTTTGGAGGTAGGATGTTGGGGTGACCAGAGAGATCGTGAGTGTGTGTCATGTATTCCTTTTGGAGGTAGGATGTTGGGGTGACCAGAGAGATCGTGAGTGTGTGTCATGTATTCCTTTTGGAGGTTGACCAGAGATCGGATGTGTGGGGTGACCAGAGAGATCGTGAGTGTGTGTCATGTATTCCTTTTGGAGGTAGGATGTTGGGGTGACCAGAGAGATCGTGAGTGTGTGTCATGTATTCCTTTTGGAGGTAGGATGTTGGGGTGACCAGAGAGATCGTGAGTGTGTGTCATGTATTCCTTTTGGAGGTAGGATGTTGAGATCGTGAGTGTGTGTCATGTATTCAGAGATGATCGTGAGTGTGTGTCATGTATTCCTTTGGAGGTAGGGATGTAGGGGACCAGAGCGATCGTGAGTGTGTGTCATGTATTCCTTTTGGAGGTAGGATGTAGGATGACCATAGAGATCCAGAGTGTGTGTCATGTATTCCTTTTGGAGGTAGGATGTAGGGGTGACCAGAGAGATCGTGAGTGTGTGTCATGTATTCCTTTTGGAGGTAGGATGTTGGGGTGACCAGCGAGATCGTGAGTGTGTGTCATGTATTCCTTTTGGATGTAGGATGTTGGGTGACCAGAGAGATCGTGAGTGTGTGTCATGTATTCCTTTTGGAGGTAGGATCTTGGGTGACCAGAGAGATCGTGAGTGTGTGTCATGTATTCCTTTTGGAGGTAGGATGTTGGGGTGACCAGAGAGATCCAGAGTGTGTGTCATGTATTCCTAGAATGATGTTCATGCTGTTGGTCACTGGATTGATTGGTCCAGACTCTGTTATTTACAGCTTGCCGCCATATAGCTGGAATATTGCTGAGTGCGTCGAAAAACTAAATTCACTCACACTCACTGTAACATCATATATTCCTGGCTCAACTAACTCAGTGGTTTTGTGGATGCCTGTACCAATAAGTCTAGAAGATGCAACCCTGAACCACAGACAGCTGTAGACAAAAACAAAACTCTTCACATTGTTGTTATTGTGATTTATTCATCGAATGTTTATTGCAGTTGATATCCTCTGACAAGTGCACCCTTGATTTGATGATGCCCAAACAAGGTAACAAGGATTTCCCAAAACAGCAAAGTCCTGACTCATCTGGTTGCATGGTGGTAAGGGGAGTAGGCATTGTGGTCCTGTTTAAACAATTTATACCCTGGTCATACTACACTTCACACGCTCCTCTCACTTGAAGGGGGGCCTATATCAATCACTGTAGATTCACCATCTACACCCTGAGTCAACCCTCTACACTGTAGCTCCATCACCCACATCCAATGCACACCAGCTACAGCCAAAGAACACCATTTACACCCATGGTCTGCCATCACCAACATCTACAACCAAGCATTATCAGCAACACCCAAGGCCCACCATCTGCACCAAAACGGTCCACCAATGTAACCCATTTACACTCAGGGGCAACCAAGTACACCATCTACTCCTATGGTCCAGCAACATCCACCATCTACTCCTATGGTCCTGCGACATCCACCATCTACTCCTATGGTCCACCAACATCCACCATCTACTCCTATGGTCCACCAACATCCACCATCTACTCCTATGGTCCACCAACATCCCCCACCTACTCCTATGGTCCTGCGACATCCCCCACCTACTCCTATGGTCCACCAACATCCACCATCTACTCCTATGGTCCTGCGACATCCACCATCTACTCCTATGGTCCACCAACATCCACCATCTACTCCTATGGTCCACCAACATCCCCCACCTACTCCTATGGTCCTGCGACATCCACCATCTTCTCCTATGGTCCAGCAACATCCACCACCTACTCCTATGGTCCACCAACATCCACCATCTACTCCTATGGTCCACCAACATCCACCATCTACTCCTATGGTCCACCAACATCCACCATCTACTCCTATGGTCCACCAACATCCACCATCTACTCCTATGGTCCAGCAACATCCACCACCTACTCCTATGGTCCACCAACATCCACCATCTACTCCTATGGTCCTGCGACATCCACCATCTACTCCTATGGTCCACCAACATCCACCATCTACACCATCATCCCCCACCTACTCCTATGGTCCTCAAGGTCCACCATCTTTTCCTATGGTCCACCAACATCCACCATCTACTCCTATGGTCCTGCGACATCCACCATCTACTCCTATGGTCCACCAACATCCACCATCTACTCCTATGGTCCACCAACATCCCCCACCTACTCCTATGGTCCACCAACATCTACTCCTATGGTCCACCAACATCCACCATCCACTCCTATGGTCCACCAACATCCAACATCTACTCCTATGGTCCACCAACATCTACTCCTATGGTCCACCAACATCCACCATCTACACTGAAGGTCCATCGTCCACAGCAATCATATTCAAGGTCCATCTACCCTCGATGCCACGGACACTTAAATTGCCCATATCCGTCTCTCAGCATCAACACTGCCCCCCCTCGTCTTAGCCCCCCTCCCCTCCAGGCAGCCAGGTGAGTGTGTGGGACAGTATGTGGTACAGGACACTAGCTACAGGTACTGCTAATTGTACAAGGCAAGTCAGTCATAGCCAAACACTTCTAGTCTGCTTCAGCAAACTAGTGAGAAGGGATGTCATCAAATATCTGCAAGTACATTCAAATGCTTGGTAACAACCAAGGGTGCATACATATGAACTGCCCCCATGAAGATGTGGTAACAAATGTCACATGCATCAAATGCCACTTGATAAAATGTGCTTCTCCCAGAAACTTGACGACATCCTTCTTATACATAGCTAATCATTCTTGGGCAGTGTTTTGAGTCAGAGCCTTACAAACACCAAACAGTCATTGTCATGGCAACATTCAGCTCCAATCTACTTTCCATGATATCTCCCTATCCTGGCAGTAACATCTGACTGCTAGTCCGTTACTAGACAGCTACTTTGTTATGGAGAATTCATTTGTCTGGCAGTGTCTGATTGGATTTTGAAGATGGCATCTGACTCAACAGCACTTGACAAAATGTTTCTAGTTACTACAAATGTCATGGTAAGATTATCAACAAGCCAGTAGCAGAACACCTACCCATCACCAAAATGTAAGGCTAAATGGATCCAAATATACAAGTAAACTATGAACATAGAAATATGCTATTGTATAACCTGGTGTGGTGGGTACAATCATGGTGATGGAACACAGGACAATACACTGTCAGAACAGACCATTGTCAACATACATGTCTGGATAGTATCATAACAAAATATAAACATTAGTCAAAATCAATGGAAATTTAACATACATTGTCTTCAAAAAAACTTTTAATGACCTATAAACTTACTAAACAAGAACATTGTCAACAATTTTACATTTGCCCACAAGATGACATACATACCATATTATGTAAATAATTGTCCCAGTACAGAACTAATAACAGGAGACTCCAGGCTGTGGCATGTTTCATACTGAAGAAATGTCAGACTATCATTAACTAACAATCATCCCATACTGCATAATTTTTCAATAAGTTGTTTAGAGATGTATTGATATTTGTTTCAAAATCCAGATATAATATAAATTGCTTTACAGAGAAAGTAGTTTCAACCAATCATATGCACACCAGAATGTTTTTCTTCCTTGGAATTGTTTAGCATTACTGTTCCCTTCATGATGATTGGCCTGTATTGTATAACTGTGTTATAACAGCGTTATAGCAGGGTCAGTGTGGTGAAGCTCATATGCAATGCATAGTTCCATATTTTGAAACCTACACATTTACCCCTTGGGTGAAGAACTGCCTACATGGCATAGCCACTGATGGGAAGAACTGCCTACATGGCATAGCCACTGATGGGAAGAACTGCCTACATGGCATAGCCACTGATGGGAAGAACTGCCTAGGTAGTATAGCCACTGATGGGAAGAACTGCCTAGGTAGTATAGCCACTGATGGGAAGAACTGCCTACATGGCATAGCCACTGATGGGAAGAACTTCCTAGGTAGTATAGCCACAGATGGGTTGACAGTTCAACTGTGACATCTCACATTTCCATACAACACATACTGACATGAAGATGGCCAATGTTCCCGAAGAATAATTGAATTTACACTGTCAGAGATGGGATGTGTATGCATGGCCAAAGTTCATACATCTACTTAAAAAGATCATTAGGCATGAAACAGTTTATATCTAGGAACAAAAATATGTTCACCCAAATAACTAGTGCATGATAAACTATGAAGTTCTGATGGCAAATGTGATATATAATTCAAAAACAGAACATTTTCCCTCTAACATAGTCTAAACAGTTATCAGGAAGTATTAACACATGGTAACTCTCTTGTCAGGAAGTGTTATAAGTTTGCTTTTTTTCTGAAACCTAATTACATTGTGTCAAATATATCTGCAAAAACTGTTTCCATTAACATCAAACCAATGCTGTGAATCCTTTTAACACTGTAATCATGCAATATGAAGCCAGTTAAATGCTCCACACCGGAGCTTCATTGCCCAATGAGTGTCTTGAAGTGCATGTCAGTCTAGAGTATTATGGGAATCAATGGACTGATGTCTACTGACAGGATGTTCCGTCCCGACAGCAAGTACAACGATGCGTGTAGATCAGCTTGTAGGAATGCTGCTGACATCTCTTCACCATTTCATTGATATGTCATGGGGTCGGAACCCTGGTATTTTCTATAAAAACAAAATGTGAACTTGTGTATTTTGTCTCAGTTCAAAAGATTACATTCAATCAGCCAAATGAAGTGTCCATCAATGTGATGTTACAAGAACTATTCACAGAATTTCAACATTTAGTTTTCCTATTTCACAAATGTCTTGCAAAATCCCAATCTCTGTAAGGTGATTGATAAACAGCTTCCTCCAACCCAATTGGTGGTACAACCAATGATCCTTGGTAACAAACCAGTCTCTCATATATATAATATAGTTTCCATCACATAATATAGAAAGGGGTCACAAAAAACACATATTTTGCCAGTGTCCTCATGTCTGTCAGAATCCTCCCCTGCAAGCTGCCACTGATTTCTCACATTACAAATTGAGTGAGACACGTAACCACAGACACAAAACAATATCAAAGATACTGGAAACGTTATCTTAAAAGCACAATACACAGTGCAAGGAAACCACTAGCAACTTCTGACAGAAGATATTGTGACGTCTTCCCCAGGGTACTTACAAACATACTCTCAACCGATCATATCATGTTTCCCTGGTTTTTAACCTACATTGAGGTAACTTTTTGCTTGACAACAGTCAAAATGTGCGTTAATCGATATGTCATGAAAACTATATGATCACCTCACCCATGAATGAGTAATTCAATATACCTGCATAACCCAAGGTCATGACCTCGGTGTTTGTTCACAGACTGGGATTATGCTTTAGCCAATGTTGAACAACAGTATTTTGGATAATTGGTATGAAAACATGTATGAAGACACTTTGCCAAGATACACCAAGCTCAATTTTGTTTCAGATTTCCCTAGTTCCTGATTAATGAAGACCCAACATACTTATCTAATGGCTTTATAAAGTAGTTTGATGATGATTTTGCAGCGTGTAATTGATGTGGTGAGAGATGTGTGCTAACATAGGAAGCAGAACCTTCAATAAAGTAGATAGACAGTTCTTGCCTTTCACAGTTGATGTAATCAGCCCGAACACCATTACTGTTACCTTGTTGATGGCCATGCCAGGCTGGTGCAGTACACTTTGGCACACACAGCATTGACAAGTGCACTAATGAATGATTCATTTCAAGATTCACCAGGCCATACACCAACATTTCACTGTATTTTGCAAGAAAGTATCAAATTTACTTTACTGACATCAGCTTGGGGAAGGGGGCACATTTTTTTTACATGACTCAGGAAAGCAAACCACTCACACATTCAACTTGAAGCAAGATACAATGAAATGCTCATTTAGATTGTTAGCACAGAGGAACTACCATACAGTATTAAAAATTAATTCTACTGCATCATGAGGGCATCATTTAATTTTTTGTAAAGAAACATATCTGGCTCCATTCTAAACAAATACTTGATACCGTTTAGATTGTAACTAATGCCTGCAACAGATTCTGTGTTTTACAAATGATCATGGAGGCCAAGTTAAAAGCACTAAATTGCAACTTAAGTATTTGTTTTGCCATGTTAAATTTGTCAGCCAATCTCTCAAAATTGTTTTAACTTCTTTCCTTTTCAGTTTTCAGTTTCAGGTCAAAGAAACTCAACAGATGGAAGAGTAAACAACACAAGATCCTACTTGAGTTTTCTTAAAATTTACACTGCAGTTATGTGTTTGATGCCTAATAGAATCTGATTAGGTAGGTCATTGTGACTGATTGTTGCCTGGTGTTGAGGTGATATATTTCAGATAACAAGCCTGCTGCGTGCAGTGGTAACAGCGGACATGAGATACAACCTCTATATGCAACAATGTAGAGTCCCCAGCCATGCTGGTAACAAACAGAATGGAGTTACCCTTGTTCATAAGCTTCTGAGCCGGCATGTTTACAGCCCTGAAGCACTTATAAAATATTGATAGTGCAGTGTTCTAGAGAATCAATGAACTTTGAAGCATTCGTAAAAGGTCCAGCAGCCTTCAGGGAAGATGGTCAAATTACGATTCAAGTGGAAGAATTTATCACTTCCTTTGTCGTCAGACATTGTTTTCTTGCTTCAGTCATAATCCAATTGGCTCATATGTTACGAAAATTTTGAAATATATGGAAAAGTTTGAGATGATAAGAAAAGAAAGCCCATCTTTCAGGTCTGTTCAGTGAATGCAAGTTGTTTCTTATGCATGTGTGATATTCCGATGTTGTCAGAGATAGTGGACTGTTTACTCTTCATGTCAGTGTGGTGTTCACACATTCGCGAACACAATCATGGACAGACATTTGAGACTTACATAAACTCCACAGAGAGTACAAGTAATATATATATATGAATATATTCAGCTGAAATGTGATAACGGTTTGACAAAGTGTCAAGATGGCATCACTCATTCAGAGGTGGCATCTGCCTTGCCCACCAGCCACAAGTAGGCTAATCACCCTCCACAAGCATCCTCTACAACCATAGAACACAGAATATGGCAGTTCACCTCCAGAGCACAGAACATGCCATTTCACCTCTAGAACACAGAACATGCCATTTCACCTCAAGAACACAGAACATGCCATTTCATCTCCAGAACACACAACATGCCATTCTGCTTCTTGAAGGCAGGATATGGCATTCTGTTTTCTGGACACAACATGTGCAGAATATTCCTTCTCCTGGTGGGTAGATGACATAGATATGCAAAATGTGAACATACAGCAGCTCTTGGGCTGGAAACAAAAGTATTAAAAAGATGAATGATGTGGTATCTCCTCCGGAAAGGACACAAGTTGAATGACATGAGCTGGTACAACTAAACCAGGAACCTGTCTAGGTGGGGAAATACAACACAAAACCGGTTTGACATCTTCATGCAAACTCTAGTATGTAAGCAATGGCAAACTATTTGTTGGTTTCATATTTGTCAATGTGTGAGTATAATATGCGAAAAGATTCTATGAACAGAGGCCTTGAAAGTGCAAGATCAGATTTTGATAATGACCTTTTCTGAACAAGAAACTTCATACTGGCTTTTGGGTTTACATGAAGTGTAAGGAAAGGTTTGTTTATAAAATCTATTCACCGTCATGTGAGCATTCCCTTTGTATAAAGGACTGGTATCTTTGCAAAGGGCAGATAGAGTAATGTCACATTAAAAGATTTGTAAAACATAATCTGGTTTTCCAGTCATGATAAAGTGTGTTCAAATAAGACACGACTAAACCACTATCCTGCTCTATCTGTCAGTATATGCACATCCAAACCTTAACGGGGGATAACAACATAAATCTTGCTGTTTTGGGAATGTGTGGAGGGAAATCTAAAATGTTAAAGGGGCTCTTTGAATGACAGTAAAGCACTTCCACTGTTAAAATTTTCATATCTTTCAATCTTGTTTCAAGCACAATGAACTTTATTCATTAACTACTCCATTGCTGAGCTTTATGATACACCATGATCAGAGAGCCCCTTTAAAGCAACTGTCATGCTAATAGCTGCTGCAATCTGGCTGAGGTCACCAGAAGCTGCTCTAGAATATGTCCAGCTGCACCTGTACACATATATACAGGTGCCTGGTCTTACTACAGAAAGCACTGACATATGCAATATGCATGACACCATGCATACACTTCATACAAACATGATGATTCCACCACAAAGACAGGGCCCTGCTCTTACAAACAGTTGCCATGGTGATATGAAGTTGGTCCGTATTACATGAATTTGTTGTGGGCTCTTTCTCCGGGTAATCCATCTGCATCAGGTAAGATTTACCTTTGTAACAAAAACATTTTCTCCACATATCTATATACATACAGAGAAAAAAAACCAGGAAGGTACACAGCTCGAAAATGATTGCCCTCAATTTCTCTTAAAACTGTTCATTGAATGCAAACTGCATTGGCTGGATCAATGTTGGTAGTTTTATATTCAAAAGTACTTTTTGCTAGAAGACATACTTAGAATACCTTTTTGTGTTAGTGGTAAGCTAATAACTGTATTGGCTGAGTTCAGTTTGCTTCTTTATAATTCTTGAAAAGTGATGACATCAGTTGTTACAGAATCACTTCCTGTGAATGATCTTGACCTTGACCTTTGTCTCACCTACTCATCTCTCTCTGTGCACAGAGTTATTTCCCTTGCATAAATCCAATACATATATCTTTTGATTTGAAAATGCATGTTAAGGCCCATTTTCCTGGTGAGGCATGTGGAATGAGAGTGTGGTATTACTCCTTCGAGGCTTCTGCATCTGCTGTCAGCATCTGGTACAACATCGTGTCCTCCATACAACCTTTAATAAACTCCTCCTTTGTCAATACGCCATCTTTGTTCACGTCCATTGTGTCAAATATTTTTTCTGTCCGTACTGTTGGCGAGTCTGTGACATCTTCCGACAGATGGCTCCCCAGCATGCTGTAGATGGCCTGGAACAAGAACAGAAGGGTTAAGAACATTTCAGGACATTTTGGAATATTTCTGAGCAAATTCAGAAGGTACAGCTTCTGAAAATTACACATTGCAACCTAGACATTCAAAACAAAGAAGTGTCTATGGGGTCTGCACTTTTCAGAAATGCCTCTTGTGATGATCTGTACCTGTAATAACATCGGTTGGAAAGGAAAGGATGTAGCATTTCACAGATGTGTGTTGGTGATTTTTGTTTCATGTGAGTCTTTGGCATTCAGTTTGTGCTTGATGATTTACTGTTGCTTTCTAGAGATTCGTAGTCTTATTCTCACCTCTTATAAGAAAAACGTTTCAAATTCACTTGTTTGTCTTATCCACTGAGTGTGATGTGTGTCTTGTGTGTGTTTCCAACAACTAGCCAAATAAGATGAAATATTACAAAACAATTTGTGTCCAAGAATTAATCAACCAGTCCACAGTTCAGTAACACCAGTCCACGTAACAGCAATCAGTAATCAACCAGTCCACAGTTCAGTAACACCAGTCCACAGTCCAGTAACAGTAACAGCAGTCCACAGGTCAGTAACACCAGTCCACAGTCCAGTAACAGTAGTCCACAGGTCAGTAACACCAGTCCACAGGTCAGTAACACCAGTCCACAGTCCAGTAACAGCAGTCCACAGTCCAGTAACAGTCCACAGTCCAGTAACACCAGTCCACAGTCCAGTAACACCAGTCCACAGTCCAGTAACACCACAGTCAGTAACACCACAGGTCCAGTAACACCAGTCCACACAGTCCACAGGTCAACAGTAACACCAGTCCACAGGTCAGTAACACCAGTAACAGGTCAGTCCACCAGGGTCAGTAACACCAGTCCACAGGTCAGTAACACCAGTCCACAGGTCAGTAACAGGTCAGTAACAGCAGTCCACAGGTCAGTAACACCAGTCCACAGGTCAGTAACACCCACAGTCCACAGTCCACAGGTCAGTAACACCAGTCCACAGTCAGTAACACCAGTCCACAGGTCCAGTAACACCAGTCCACAGGTCAGTAACACCAGTCCAGTCCAGTCCACAGTCCAGTAACAGTAGTCCACAGGTCAGTAACACACCAGTCCACAGTCCAGTCCAGTAACACCACAGTCCACAGGTCACAGTAGTACAGGTCAGTAACACAGTCCACAGGTCAGTAACACCAGTCCACAGTCCAGTAACAACAGTAGTCCACAGGTCAGTAACAGTACCAGTAGTCCACAGGTCCAGTCAACCACAGGTCAGTAACACCAGTCAGTCCACAGTAACCCAGTAACAGTCCACAGGTCACCAGTCCACAGGTCAGTAACACCAGTCCACAGTCAGTAACAACACCAGTCCACAGGTCAGTAACACCAGTCCACAGGTCAGTAACACCAGTCCACAGGTCAGTAACACCAGTCCACAGTCAGTAACACCAGTCCACAGGTCAGTAACACAGTCCACAGGTCAGTAACACCAGTCCACAGGTCAGTAACAGTAGTCCACAGTCCAGTAACAGTAGTCCACAGGTCCAGTAACACCAGTCCACAGGTCAGTAACACCAGTCCACAGGTCAGTAACACCAGTCCACAGGTCAGTAACACCAGTCCACAGGTCAGTAACAGCAGTCCACAGGTCAGTAACACCAGTCCACAGTCAGTAACACCAGTCCACAGGTCAGTAACACCAGTCCACAGGTCAGTAACACCAGTCCACAGGTCAGTAACACCAGTCACAGTCCACAGTCCACAGGTCAGTAACACCAGTCCACGGTCCAGTAACACCAGTCCAGTCAACAGTCCACAGGTCAGTAACACCAGTCCACAGTCAGGTCAGTAACACCAGTCCACAGGTCAGTAACAGTCCAGTAACAGTCCACAGGTCAGTAACACCAGTCCACAGGTCAGTAACACCAGTCCACAGGTCCAGTAACACCAGTCCACAGGTCAGTAACACCAGTCCACAGGTCAGTAACAGCAGTCCACAGGTCAGTAACAGCAGTCCACAGGTCAGTAACAGTCCACAGGTCAGTAACAGCCAGTCCACAGGTCAGTAACACCAGTCCACAGGTCAGTAACACCAGTCCACAGGTCAGTAACACCAGTCAGTAACACCAGTCCACAGGTCAGTAACACCAGTCCACAGGTCAGTAACACCAGTCCACAGTCCAGTAACACCAGTCCACAGGTCAGTAACACCAGTCCACAGGTCAGTAACACCAGTCCACAGTCCAGTCACAGCAGTCCACAGGTCAGTAACACCAGTCCACAGGTCAGTAACACCAGTCCACAGGTCAGTAACACCAGTCCACAGTCCAGTAACACCAGTCCACAGGTCAGTAACAGGTCAGTCCACAGGTCAGTAACACCAGTCCACAGTAACACCAGTCCACAGGTCAGTAACCCAGTCCACAGGGTCAGTAACACCAGTCCACAGGGTCAGTAACACCAGTCCACAGGTCAGTAACAGTCCACAGGTCAGGTCAGTAACACCAGTCCACAGTTCAGTAACACCAGTCCACAGGTCAGTAACACCAGTCCACAGGTCAGTAACACCAGTCCACAGGTCAGTAACACCAGTCCACAGGTCAGTCCACAGTCCACAGGTCAGTAACACCAGTCCACAGGTCAGTAACACCAGTCCACAGGTCAGTAACACCAGTCCACAGGTCAGTAACACCAGTCCACAGGTCAGTAACACCAGTCCACAGGTCAGTAACACCAGTCCACAGGTCAGTAACACCAGTCCACAGGTCAGTAACACCAGTCCACAGTTCAGTAACACCAGTCCACAGTCCAGTAACACCAGTCCACAGGTCAGTAACACCAGTCCACAGGTCAGTAACACCAGTCCCCAGTCCAGTAACAGTCCACAGTCAGTAACACCAGTCCACAGTCCACAGGTCAGGTAACACCAGTCCACAGGTCACAGTAACACCAGTCCACAGGTCAGTAACACCAGTCCACAGGTCAGTAACAGTACCACAGTAACACCAGTCCACAGGTCAGTAACACCAGTCCACAGGTCAGTAACACCAGTCCACAGGTCCACACCAGTCCACAGTTCAGTAACACCAGTCCACAGGTCAGTAACACCAGTCCACAGGTCAGTAACACCAGTCCACAGGTCAGTAACACCACAGTCCACAGTCCAGTAACAGTCCAGTAACACCAGTCCACAGGTCAGTAACACCAGTCCACAGGTCAGTAACACCAGTCCACAGTCCAGTAACACCAGTCCACAGGTCAGTAACACCAGTCCACAGGTCAGTAACACCAGTCCCCAGGTCAGTGATACTATTCTTGTTCAAGAACTGGTGTTGGAGACACAGGCAGCCCTTAAAAAACTCATTTAAAACTACACAACATGCAGTAATAATCCAATACTGACATTCCCCAGCCTATCTGCTTGTTCAATGACAAATGTTTCTCCTTGAACAATAATGTAGTAACTCATGAAGTGGAACTATAAAACCTTGAGCTTTGTTGTGTGATCGCATTCTCGTACCATGCTGAAAAAGCCGACGTTCCTGATGTTACATCAGAAAGCTGCCAGTGGATGAGTTTGGTGTAATACAATGCTTTATCTCTCCACTCAGCCACACATGGCAAGTCGTTGGATTTGCACATGTGAGTGCACATGTGAGCAATATTTCTATATTTGTCAGTGGTGTTGACACCTAGTGCAGTGGCTGGTGAGAGAGATGACAGATAATGTTAACTTGATGTTGTCACCCAGTCAGGCAGGAGGCCAGTCCCCACATGGCAGTGAACCATAGCTGGTCTCAGTGGTGGCAAAAGTTGACTATTCTGAGAAGCAGTTGTTTTCATGTGTCAAGTATTCACTTTCAGGTAACAGATCAGGACTCTGCAGATTTCTCTAGGGTTTTCATGTGGTGAAGGATTGCATTAGTCAGCTGGGCTTCACTTGATGGAGATCTCACAAGTACTGGTACAGACATTTGGAAACAATGAAAAACCTTCTTGAAGGAAACAAGGCTGAAAGACGCCAATGACCACATGACCTACATGACAATTGAAGTCCCAGTTTCCATGACACCTGGTACAGTTCCTCCTGGTGTTATACTTAGGAAGACCTCAACAGTTAGTGTAAACCTTGATTTGGGGTGATCAACAACCTGTTCTACAAAGAGCTTTGTATGATGATTATAACTCCTATTGCTTCACATAAAACTTCTGAAAATTCAGTGAGTGAGTGAGTGAGTGAGTGAGTGAGTGAGTGAGTGAGTGAGTGAGCAAACTGGGTTTTCATTAGCTTTGAACAATATTGTTGGTTTTAATTTAGTTGGAAAGCTGAAAATGAAGAAGGACTCAGACAATAAAGATTCAATGAAATTGAGTACAGTGTTGACAGACAAAGGATGACAACTGCCATGAATCTGCACTCCAACAATCAGATCCTGGTAGAACTCAAGAGATACAACTCTCTCCAGCAAATTACTGTACCATTAGCAATACCTTAGGCCACTGTGCAACAAATTCCCAAAAATTTCATAATCAAAGTGTGTTGAAACAGTAACCTATTCTTGAAACAGTTATTCAGTGGTAGTTTTAGCAATAAGCCAACTTTCTCACAGTGCATGTGGCTATCCAGATGAGCCTGTTAAAAGTTTAGGAAGAATGAGTTATGACAAAAATTGTGATAAGGAATTAAACCACACAGAGGTCAATTTGTGAAGAAAATCACATTTATTGCCACGTGACTTTATTGAAACCAAATGTTTGGAATCAGAACAATATCAACCCAACCTTGCTGAGAATAGTTACCAGGGGATGTATAAAATATAGCTCACACTAAAGTGGGAATACATCAAATACAAAAACTAATGAAGTGTTATAATTGAAATTTTTGTTTTCTGAAAATTACATTTTTCCATTTGAATTGACACCAAAGGCATTTTCTCTGAAATAGTTTCAGCGACTGTAAAGTGATTTTCTTTTTGTGTGGCTGAGGTTAGAAGCATGTTTAAATATCAA